TCCAGGAGAAGTTAGCTTGCTTTCTCCTTCCCTTCTATTTATTTCACTAGACAAACCTTCTCAACTTCTAAAAATAGCTTTATTGAGGTATAATTGATATACAAGAACTGTGCATATTTAGTGCGCTCAATTTGATGAGTCTGAACAAATGCAAACACCCATGCTACAATGTCTCTCTATCTCACGACTAAGCTGACATGGTCAGTACCTCCCAGAATTTCCTTGTTTCCTTTAGTTTTTCTGTTTGTTTTAGTGGTAAGAACAGCTAACATGAGGTCTATCCTCTGAACAATTTCTGAAGTGAATATTACATTGTTAACAACAGGCACTATGTTGTACAGTACAACTCTAGGATTTATTAATCTTGCATAACTGAAACTATACACCCACTGAATAACAACTCTCCATTTCTCCCTTCCCCCAGCCTCTGGCAACCACAATTGTGTTCCCTGCTTCTGTGAGTTTGATTATTTTAGAATCTTATATAAGTGGAATCATGCTGTCTTTGTCCTTCTGTGATTGGATTATTTCAGTAGAATGTCCTCCAGGTTCATCCATGTTGTAGTGACTGGCAGAAGTTTCTTCTGTTGTTTTAAGGCTCAACCTTTGTGCTTCAATTTTCAATTCCTGAAGGACACCACCCCAACCATTCTCTCTCCTAAACTGTCGTCCTCTATTCACATTCCTGTGAACTAAACTTGAATCCCTAGAGGACAAGGACACTATCTTACTTGTTTTTGCAAGCCCAGCTCCTAACAGTGTGTTAGGCACATAGCAGGCTGTAAAAAAAATGTTCCTGACACTGCTAAACACTGTGAATTAGGAACAGTTTGATTGTTTCCATGAGCTCACTTTCTTGATATATTAGTTAATATGATCTTGAAAGGACTTATTTTGAAGAACTCTGTTCATTTCTAATATTTGGGAAACAACAGTCCTCTTGCTAAAGTGCATTATGCTTAGAAAAATCAAACACGAAGGTGGCAGAGAAAACTGTTATTTTGCCTTCCTTTTTAATGCTGCCCTCAGCTACTTCTTGTAAGTATGAGTCGGTGCTTCAGAGGAGTTTCTGCAGCATGCTGGCATAAACATCATCAGGTCAACCAAACAGGCAAAAAACTCCAGAAAAATCCAAAAGCTGATGTAAACTGTACCTAAGAGAAAGTTTTGTAATACTTATATTAGGGAAAAGATATTTTAGTCAACTAGAGGAGTTATTCCAGAATCAAAAAGACAAGGAGTTTCCCTATGCCACAATTCTTATGCAGAAAATGAACTGATGGTGTAGTCTCAAACTTTTTCTTTTAAGCAAAAGCTGACCTATAATAAAAACCTTCTCTTTTTTGCTTAGATTTCCCCCATTATTTTTGTAGTCTAACATATTGGTATGTTATCACATACAAAAAATAATAACACATTTTCTTTTAAATACTGTGGACATGGGATTTAATGACCACTGTGTATCAGACCTATAGCTGAATTTAAATTCTAAATCTAATACTTGAAATAAAATAAATACCTCTCTGTCCCAAACATTCTTACAATAAAGTGAAACCTGTAGAATTGAATATTCCAAATATTTTCATATAGTTGCATATTTCTTAATCTTTTAAATTTTCCAGTCAACTCATTTGATCTATAGCTGAGAACTTAATCTATAATCCTTTGGTATAATCCTTTTCTCTCCTAGACATTTGGCAAGCTTGTCATAAAGGCCTTCATCATTCAAATTCCTCCTTTGAGACAATTATCCTGTCTTTAAAAATATATATATCTTTATTGTCTAAAGTATTACAGATATCCCTCTATTTCCCCCCACTGGCCCCCTCCACCCTGCTCCTGCCCTAGGCCTTCACCACACTATTGTCCATGTTCTGTTTTGAATACAGCATCATACATTTAGAAAACTACACAAAGGTCTAATGTTGCCCGTTAGCATTCACCAGCTTGTATTCGTTGTAGCAGAAGACAATTACTGAAAATCCTACAATGTATTCTCTGTTGTTCCAGAAATCTTGGAATCAAAATCAACAAAGCTGATTCCTTTAAAGACTGGATTCCAGGATGTCCAATTTATGCTGTTCCCCCACCCCCGCTTGCTTTTATAATCAATATCAATTGACACCAGTACGTTGCTGGTAGAACAATTCCCTTGAATGGTTATAGGGATGAAATGAAATCCATGACAGGACAGCAATCATGTTTGGCACATGACCACACTCTATTAGATTCCCAAGGTTCTAGGTCTGGAGTCCTCTAGTGGTTGTTCAGGTCTTTAAAAAGTTTCTTATTTTTTTGTTCTTCATTTTCTCATCTACAAAATATATTCATTTGTTTACTCATTCATTAAATAATTAATAACCACATGCTACATGCCAGAAACTGCTGGGTAATGGCGATAACACAGAAGCTTAAAGAAAATTCACAGGGCAGTGGGCAGAAAAATAAGGAAAATAACAATTACCAAACAATATGCTATATCTGTAGGAGGTAGAATATTATAGGGTCACGGAAATGACACCACACATGCTGAGAGCCCTAGCAAAGGCCATGTAGGAAAACTGATGTCTGAGCCAAATCATGAAAAAGAGAGATGCTTTCCTAGGTCTGTGGGAGAATATTTGCAAAGCATGGCATTTTTGAGATCGTAAAGGAAGATTGCACTGTAGATTGCAAAAGAAGGAAGGACACAGAGAAGGACGGGCAAAGACAGGTACAGGGAAAACTATGAATTTCGAGAATGGCATGTAGAAAATGTGAAATCCTTCTTGAAGGAAAAGATAAGATATTAAACAGTATTAAGCCAAAGAGTTACATGGTCAGAGTTATGATTTAGAAATATTACTCCGTGTATAGAAGGTGGAGAAAATGAAATGAGTCCAGATCTGAGGTGGCTACAAAAATACAAATTCAATTTGACAAGGGCTGAACTAAGGCCATGGCAAAGAGGAAAGAGGAGGGGATAGGCTCATGGATGAGGAAAGAGGAGGGGATAGGATCATGGATGAGGAAAGAGAGGAGGGGATAGGCTCATGGATGAGGAAAGAGGAGGGGATAGGATCATGGATGAGGAGAGAGGAGGGGATAGGATCATGGATGAGGAGAGAGGAGGGGATAGGATCATGGATGAGGAGAGAGGAGGGGATAGGCTCATGGATGAGGAAAGAGAGGAGGGGATAGGCTCATGGATGAGGAAAGAGGATGGGATAGGCTCATGGATGAGGAAAGAGGATGGGATAGGCTCATGGATGAGGAAAGAGGAGGAGATAGGCTCAGGGATGAGGAGAGAGGAGGGGATAGGCTCAGGGATGAGGAGAGAGGAGGGGATAGGCTCAGGGATGAGGAGAGAGGAGGGGATAGGCTCAGGGATGAGGAGAGAGGAGGGGATAGGATCATGGATGAGGAGAGAGGAGGGGATAGGATCATGGATGAGGAGAGAGGAGGGGATAGGATCATGGATGAGGAGAGAGGAGGGGATAGGCTCATGGATGAGGAAAGAGGATAGGATAGGCTCATGGATGAGGAAAGAGGATGGGATAGGCTCATGGATGAGGAGAGAGGAGGGGATAGGCTCAGGGATGAGGAGAGAGGAGGGGATAGGCTCAGGGATGAGGAGAGAGGAGGGGATAGGCTCAGGGATGAGAAGAGAGGAGGGGATAGGATCATGGATGAGGAGAGAGGAGGGGATAGGATCATGGATGAGGAGAGAGGAGGGGATAGGATCATGGATGAGGAGAGAGGAGGGGATAGGCTCATGGATGAGGAAAGAGAGGAGGGGATAGGCTCATGGATGAGGAAAGAGGATGGGATAGGCTCATGGATGAGGAAAGAGGATGGGATAGGCTCATGGATGAGGAAAGAGGAGGAGATAGGCTCAGGGATGAGGAGAGAGGAGGGGATAGGCTCAGGGATGAGGAGAGAGGAGGGGATAGGCTCAGGGATGAGAAGAGAGGAGGGGATAGGCTCAGGGATGAGGAGAGAGGAGGGGATAGGCTCATGGACTATTGGGATGTAGAACTGACATAATTTAGGAACTGTCAGGGTGTGGAGGATGAGGGAGAGAAGAACATCTAGGATTATTATTAGAGCGTAGTTTGGGGCATGCTTTTTTTTTGTAGTATGTAGGAGGCCTCCAAGTGGAGATGCTGAGCTGGCAGTGAGGTGTACAAGTCTGGAACTCAGGAGGAACACCTGGGTTGGAATAAAAGACTGGGGATCTTTAATCCAGGCGACATATAGACAGAGGAAGAAGGCACATCGTTAATGAAGGACACCAAAAAGAATGGTCCCAGAGGTAGGAGGAAGAAGGGCAATGTCACTAAACCAAGAGAAAGAGAGTTTCAAGGAGGGAGCAGTCACCAGTGTAGATTCCTGCACAGCCGGAAGATAAGATGAAGCCTGAAAGGTGCCCTGGGAATCTCACACCCCAGAGACCACGGTGACTGCAGAGAGAACAGTCTCAGAGGAGCAGCTTGGACACAAACCAGACTCTCGTGGGTTAAAGAGTCAGCAGAACCACAAGAAATGGAATGCTTTTTCTAGAAGCTTGGAGGAAAGGAAAAGAACAGCTAATTGGCTACAAGATCTTTATTAGCAATAACATTGTGTGAAATTGTACTAACAAAACAGTGTATCAAGAAAAGTGCGAATGCTTCCCTAGAGATCTAACTCACTACCAGCCTGGCTGTTAAGGAGCTGAGGAGATGGAGTCAGGTGGGTTTGGAACAGGATTCATTTACTTGGAGTCTTGGCTTAGGGTGCGTGTGCAGACAGTATAGTTGTTCCTGTTGTGTAATGAAGGTGTGGGCAAGGTGTGCGGACAGCTATCAGCCTCCCTCATCTCTTGATTTCTATGCTGGTGGGAGGTACAGGCAGTACAACCATTTTAAATAGTAGAAAGATCAAAATCATTATCTACAAGGGAGTAAAACAGCCCTTAGACAAACACACAGGAATAAAGAGGGATTCTCTGCAAAACAGTCATCCTACTGTTTACTCACAGGTGGTCCTGGGGGTCCTGGTTTTCCTGGAGGACCTGTTTTTCCTCGTCTTCCCTGGAAATAAGAGAAACAGACAATAAATGATGTGACTCCATTTTAAGATGAGACAACATTAAATGGCAATGTTAAAGACAGTAAAAATTAAGTAAAAGTTTAAAAACAATTCCAAGTCCATATCATCTTTAAACATCAATGAAGTCTAAAAGTTGTGGGCCAAGCCCTGGCTGGTGTGGCTCAATTGGCTGGGTGTTGTCCCAAAAGGTTGCCGCCTGATCCCCAGTAGGGGGCATGCAGGAGGCAGCCGATAGATGTTCAGCTCTCACATTGATGTTTCTCTTTCTCTCTCCCTCTCCCTTTCTCTCTCTCCAAAAATCAACACAAATATATATTTTTTTAAAGTTAAGGGGCAAATCTTAATAACCAAGATGAGAAAAATAGTACCTGGAATGAATAAATCTGAACTCTGATTAGCAGCCCCTGAGACCCTAGCAAAGTAATATAAAGTATCAGAAAGATGGTCTAAGATCGCCTTTTATCTGATGAGTCTGTGGTTTCAGATGTTATAATACATGTATTTATCACCTTAAATTAATGTTTTTCAAAATGTGGTCTGAATTGTAACTTTATAGGAGTTACATGAAGCTGTGATTGGATGTAAAAATGCACATTCCTGAGCTCCATCCTAGACTTACTGGTTTAGAATCTCTGGGGAAGGGAGTGATGAATCTGCATTTTTAAAACCACTTCAGGTAATTCTTATGCTCACTAAAGTTTGACAAGCACTTCCCTAAGACATACCATAATTATAGATGCTGTATAAAGCACATTAACTAACTCTTGTCTTCCCTTTGGATGGTTAAGCTGTTTCATAAGTGAACTAAAATATATACTTGCTTATTAATTTTCATTATTGGAACTGAATGTTAACTCTCCCAAGTTCACAACCAGCTAAATTCCAATTGCAAGTTAGAAAAATAAGATTTCTCCCCTTTTCCAATAGAAGGAAGCAAGCTTAGGTATTGAAAGCATATGTTTGGGCCCTGGTCTGTTAGGCTCAGCAGTTAGAGCATCAGCTCACAGACCAAAGGGTCAAGGGCATGTACCTGGGTTGTAGATTCGATCCCACGTGAGGCAACCAATCGATGTGTAACTCTCACATTGATGTTTCTCTCTCTCCCTTCCTCCCTTCCATGCCATCTAAAAATCAATGAAAAAATATCCTCAGGTTAACAAACAAACAAAAAAATTAGAAAGCATATGTTTTGAATGAGAAGCTTTTGTGCCCTGGCCAGTTTGGCTCAGCAGTTAGAGCGTCGGCCTGGGGTCCAGAGAGATGGGGGTTCGGTTCCCACTAAGGGCATGTACCTCGGTTGCAGTTTGTCCCCGGCCCTGGTTAGGTTGTGCAGGTGGCAGCCACTCGATGTGTCCCTTTCACATCAATGTTTCTCTCTCTCCCTCCCTTCCACTCTATCTGAACAAAAAATGAAAAAATGTCCTCAGGTGAGGATAAAAAATATATATATATAGAGAGAGAAGCATTTGTGAGCATATTATATAAATATAGCCATGCTCTATTTTATTACCATATTGGTAGTATAGTAATACTTTTTAAAGCTTGTTTCTACTGAAAAAGTGTTGGGTTGACTTCTTTTTGGGAGAATTATAAACCCAGAAAGGCCATTTCATTCACTAATTTTCTTGCTCTGAAAGTATCAGGCAAAGCTTGATCTCTTCAGTTTTTATTTAGGCTTGAAGTAGGGTAGCAAGTCCGATTCCAGGTGAACCAGTGAAGTAAGCTCTGAGAGATAGGTAATCACACAGCATACTGTGATCGGGGGGCTAAAGGCACACCACCAAGGCTTGATAAAAATAGCAGTTGTTTCATAAATAATCCTAGCTAAGACCTACAGAACATATTCTAAAGCATTTATTAAAAATAAAAATACAAGTAATGGTGTTTTCATTTACCTTTTGTTTTAGAGATCTGAACCTTGGAGTTCCTTTGGGAGATTGTAAGATTGGAATAAATATATACTTTAATGTTCTGTATCCATGAAAATGTTATGTACATGTACACCGTTTTCTAGTCTTGTAGTTTAATATTCTGAAAATCAATATATTGGGTCTCTCAGTAAATGTAAGTCAATTAGCCCTTGAGGATTAATCAATGATAAAAAGTTTACTTAGAAAGTAGAAGCACTGTAATCTAATTCACAAGGGGACAAAGGAACAAAATCAATGGCATTCAAGTAGGTGGTTGGTGTTTCTAGGTTGAGGTAAGTTAAAGCCATAGGATCAACGTCTGCGTGCACTGTCTTCTCTTTAAGAGAGCCACATATATCGATTTGGGCAGGAAGTGGGGAAAATGAGGCTGGCTATTGATCAACTTTTATCACAGAGTTAATGGTTAAGACAAACCAAGTGTCAGATATTGTGACATAACATTGGCATGTCTTAAGATGAGGAGTGAAAAACACTCATGATTCAGTATGATGTGGGCAAACACCCAAATTCTTGCATCACTGCCGAGTTAGACGTTCCTCTGAGTCAGCCTTGCACGGTCAGTGTGTGCAGATGTGTGCTGGAGAGTGCAGGGGAGTGCTTATCTGTGCACCCTTGCTTAAAGTGTACATGCAGGTAAAATATTTTTGAGGTTGTCAAATTATTGGAACACACTGTGGGCAGGTAACTTCAGCCAGCACATAATTTCTGTTCATATGTAGCTTCTAGCCTTGAGTTTCTAGTAACACTTAAAGCAGATTTGAATGATCTTAAAAAAAAATATGTACTTTATAAAGCAACACAATCTCCATTTTCTTAGTCATTCCACCAAATATATTTTAGGAATAGGATTTACCTTAAGTTCTAAGTCTCAGTGACCTTTTAAAGGAGCTCTGCTAGCACACAGCAGAGGGGTGAATGGATGAAAACCACGGTTGGAAACTCCAGAAGGTAAGGGAAAGATGGAGCCACAATTTCTATTAATACAATAGTTCAAGCCCACTCTCAGACATCAATCACACTGCTCTCCAAGGGGCCCCAGCAATGAACTCCTTTGTCTTCTCCCCCCACTCAAGGCCCCAGCCGCACTGAATACAGTCTCATAGTTTCCTATTCCTACAAAAGATCTTTCACTTACAAGCATGAGGGAAAGGCCAACGCCTACTTAAAGAGACAACAGTACAGTTTTGGTATGGTAAATTTTATGATTTAAGCCAGTGTAAGTTGGGGAGTATTTCATTATTAATAATTATGCCAAGTCAACAGGCATAAACCACAACTCTCATCCTAGGGCTAAAATCAGACTCCATTTTTCTGCGGAAAGTGCAGCCTGTGAATCTCTCTTCTTTTCCTCACCGGGCTCTGAGGACTCAGATGAGGACACCTGGGGCCAGGGGCTGAGGCTGGGGCTGCTGATGATAGTGATGGGAGGAATGGTTCTTGTGTTTGTTCCCACTTCTGCCTCCTTTTATTTCAGTCCCTTCATCACAGGGCTCATGCTGGATGCACTCATTGTGATGTGAGACAAAGAGCAGGGAGTGGGCTGTGTGTGGGGATGAAAGTCCTGGCAGATAACCGACAAATGCTGAGCTGCATGTGGCCTTCCTGGTTAGGATTTCTGTTCCCAGGTCACCATTTGTTCATAAGCAAATTGGAGTCTGGCTGAATTTCCAAGGATGAAGACCTACTGTTCCAGCATAATTACAATTGGGTTAATCCAACACATTTCTAAAAACTGGAATATAAAGCACAAAACACAGATTTACTATTATCAGGTTGCTCTAGAAACCTCAGTGCTCAACATGTCAGTTTCCTGCTTGGCCACAACGTAAAGGTTATCAGACAGTGGTTCAGATATCTGTCCAGTGACTTACGTCCAGGGGTGCTCAAGCCTGATGGTGCATCACGCGTCGTGAGGAGGGCTAGCTAGTTAAAACAGACTGCCGTCCCTACTTCCAGAGTTTCTGATTCAGTAGGTCTGGGGTGAGACCTGAGAATTTGCATTTCTAACCATTTCCCACTAATGCCAATGTGATTGGCCTGGAGACCACACTTTGAGGACCCCTGCTCCAAATCTCAAGCTATTTATTTATTTTTAAATATGTTTTTTATTGATTTATTTAGAGAGAGATAGAAACATCGATGTGAGAGAGATACATCTATCGGCTGTCTCCTGCACACTCCCTAATGGGGATTGAACCTGGAACCCGGGCACCTGCACTGACTGGGAACTGAACCAGGACCTCTCAGTCCATGGGACGACGCTCCATTCACTGAGCCACACAGGCCAGGCTCAGGCTCTCATTTTATATTTAAAGTCAGTCAATCTTGTGGAGCCCCTAACACCTTGTACATCTTGTAGCTCAGAGCTCAAGAGCTCAACTGGTTCTGTGATTACGTGGAACTCTGAGAATAAAAAGCCCATGGTCAAGTTCAGGAGCACCAGGGCTGAAATCTAGCTTTTCTCTCATAGAAACTTAGAGTGTCAAGATTTCATTGCTGTAAAATTTGTATTTATACATTGCAACAGGTTTGTTAGGAATTAAAAAAAAAGAGATCATATATAAAATGCCTATCACACAACCATTAGGATAGTTAGTTTTAAAAAAACATAAAATAAGTATTGGTGAGGAAGCAGAAAAAGTAGAATGCTTGTGCACTGTTGGTGAGATCGCAAAATGGTGTAATTGCTATAGAAAACACTATACAGGTTCTTAAAATTAGAAGTCAAATTACTATATAATCCAGAAATCCCACTTCTGGGTATATGTCCAGAGTCTTGAAGACCTATTTGCACACCCATGTTCATAGCAACACTGTTCAGAACAGCCAGTAGGTGGAAGTAACCCAAATGTCCACTAATGTAAATGCATAGACAAAATGTGGTATATACATACAGTAGAATATTATTCAGCCTTAGAAAGGAGAGAAATGTTATGTGCTGCAACATGGATGCATCTTGATGGCATCATGTTAGCTTAAATACGCACAGTGAAATAAGTCACTAAAGACAAATATGGTATGATTCCACTTATATAAGGTATTATTCAGAG